CTGAGGTTCCCAAATATCACAAAATCACAGGAAAACCCCTCCAGCTGTGGGAAATGCCCTCTGGGATCTGTGTCCACCTCTCCAGGAATGCAACACCCCTAAAACCCCCAGGGCTGGGGACACCACAGGCAGAAACTTTCCTGCAGCTCTGCCCCGAACCCAGAGCTTTGGATGGTGAACTGGAACTGGAGCTGCCTTTTCCAGCTGGATCCAGGTGCCCTCGCCCTGCTGGCACCTTCCCCTTGGCTTTCTGCAGCAGCAGAGGGAGCAGAGTTGCCTGTTGTGCTGCTTTAGCCCACACCAGCTGCACTTCCAACATCTCAAAGGTTGGGAAAAGGCACAGTTTCAGGATGCAGCCAGAGCTGAGCTGCTGTGCTTTGTGTCCCTGTCCATCACTTTTCCAATTTGGCTGCCTCTGGTCACTGGGACTGGTGTGGACATCAGCACCAGGGTGTCCCTGCCTACAATGAGTTGTGTTACTCGAGATCCTGAGTTGGACTTGACCTTCCAAAATGCTCCTGAGCTGCTTGGATGCTAAAATCCTTGTTTTTCCATATTCTACATTCCCTTTGTGGAGGTTTCAAGCCCGGCTGATGCTGTCCCTCAACAGCTTTCCTCAGAATTTTCTTTTTTCCCAACAAATTCCCTTTCATCAGCCTGCAGCTCACAAACTGCCATTCCCCTCCAAATTTTCAACATTTGGCCTTTTCCCTTGTTTTATAAACCACTGCAACAGCAGCTTGTGCCTTCCCCTGACCATTGAGATGTGGGGGGTTCCTTAAATGCCCACCTTTTTGCTGACCTGGGCCCGTCACAGTGCAGGTGACAGCTGAAGGATGTCCTGTGTGTGCTTCCTCCCAAGGTGACCCCCTCGGCTGGCAGCAAGCTGAAGCGCCCCACCTTCCACTCCAGCCGGACCTCGCTGGCTGGGGACACCAGTAACAGCTCCTCACCCGTCTCAACAGGTGCCAAAACCACTCGGGCAGGTGAGCGAAGGGAAAAGATGGAAAAACTGCCCCCATTATTCAAATACAGAATATTTCAGGGATGGGAAGCAAGGGAGGAGATGCTGGCACGGCTCTGCACTCCAAGGAATTGCTGAAATTTGGGGAGGAACCAAGGCTGATGTTGAAGCTCCCATCTCAGGGGTGCTGGTGAAGCACCCACAGAGGGGTTGGGGATTTTGTTGTTGATCTGGGGATGGGGGAAATATGCCTGGAGAGGCTCCCTGGGACAGAGACTGGACAGAGTTAAAGGAATAAAATAGGGATTTGTTAAAATGACTTTAATGGATACACCTTGGGCAGCACAGGAACCCAGCCATGGTTCCACCCAAGATGGACCCTGAGTCATGAGTTTCACACTTTTATGAGTTTTGGTCCATTTCCATATTGGGGTTAATTGTCCAATTCCAGCTCCAGGTGATGCAGTCCCACCCTCCCAGTTTGCTCTCCTCCATTCCCTGTTGTTTGCACTTTTTGGGCTGAAGCTGCAGCGGTGTCCTTGGTTCTGGGCTGGAAAAGGATTGTTTGTGGGACTGAACTGTTAACACTTTGTATGGAGTTCAGGGTTACACACTAACACTGTACAGAATCTGGAAAAAATAAATGCTAAAACTTAGGGCATCAGGAGAAACAAAACTTAGGGCATCAGGAGATACAAAAAAGGGCATCAGGAGGAGCAAACCTGAGGGCATCAGGAGGAAAAAGGACATTGGGAGGAACAAACCTGAGGGCATGAGGAGGAGCAAATCTTAGTGCTTCAGGAAGAGCAAAACTTAAGGCATCAGGAGGAACAAAGGGCATCGGGAGAAACAAACCTTAGGGCATCAGAAGGAACAAAACTTAGGGCATCAGGAGGAACGAAGGGCATCAGGAGGAGCAGAACTTAAGGCATGAGGAGGAACAAGGGATCAGGAAGAACAAATCTTAGTGCATCAGGAGGAACAAACCTTAGGGCATCGGGAGGAGCAGACTTTAGAGCATCGGGAGGAGCAAACCTGAGGGCATCAGAAGGAACAAACCTTGGGGCATCAGGAGGAAATAGGGCATTGGGAGGAACAAACCTTAGAGGATTGGGAGGAGCAAAATTTAGGGCATCGGGAGGAGCAGACTTTAGGGCATCGGGAGAAACAAACCTTAGAGCATCGGGAGGAGCAAACCTTAGGGCATCAGGAGGAACAAAATTTAGGGCATCAGGAGGAGCAGACCTTAGTGCATCTGGAGGAGCAGACCTTAGGGCAGCGGGAGGAGCACACCTCCCTTCTCACGGCTCTGCGGGCCCTCCTTGCAGACCCCAAGAAAGCCGCCAGCCGTCCCACGAGCCGCGCCGGGAGCCGCACGGGGAGCCGGGCCAGCAGCCGGCGGGGCAGCGACGCCTCGGACTTCGACCTGCTGGAGACACAGTCGGCCTGCTCGGACACCTCGGAGAGCAGCGCGGCCGGCGGGCAGAGCTCGCGCCGCGGCGCCGCCGCCAAACCCTCCAAAATCCCCACCATGTCCAAGAAAACGCCCGCTGCCACCCCAAAAACTCCAGGCCCTAAGAGATAATACTGTACCTTGCTGGGAGAGAGGAAGGAAAAACTAGGAAACGACAACAAATGGCAACGATGACAAAAAAAAAAAACAAAAAAAAAAAAAGCACCCGACCTGTGTCCAGTTTTTAACCCTGCTCCGTACATTGGATGTATATTTATTCTAAATGGGAGAAACTATATTGTTAAAAGTGTAAAAGAAAAATTGTGTTATGAAGCTGCCTTATTTGGGTTTTTTTTTGTTTGTTTGTTTGTTTTGGTTTTTTGGGTTTTTTTTTTTTTCTTTTTTGTAAGTTACTATTTTCATGTGAATATTTATGTAGATAAAAAAAAAATTGCCTCTCGGTGACCCCTGTTTAGAGAGGGGCCTGGAAAACTGAAATGTGGAGAGAAAGAAAAAAAAAATCAAAAAAAAGATTTAAAAAAAAAAAAAAAGGAAGCAAAAAAAAAAAAGGTCAAGATGTGAAAGTGTAAAGAAAAACTAAAATATAAATAGGATTTCTGCGCGGTGCAGGGTGTGAACCTGCTTTATCTTTTAGGATTGTTTCCTAAATGCATCTTTATAAACTTAACTTGCTGTCTCAGCAAGGTAAATTATATTTAAAAGCAAAGACCTGAATCCTGCAGTGTTCAAGGAACTCTCTTTTTGTAAATCACAGATACCTCAACCAGAGAAACATGAGGTGAGGGGACTTGGGGCTTATGTTTCCATTTTTTTTTAAAGCTATGTGGTTTTATCTGAAGAAAGCGGAGTTTGACTTTAATAAAATTTGCACACACTACAGCAAAGGCCGTGACAATTTTGCTGTCTTGAAAATACTGTCCTGACAACTTTGTTTTTAAAGAACAAACCGAGGGTGAAGGGTTTGGGGAGGGGTTTGAGGAGGGGTTTTCACACCAGAGGATTGCAGCTCTGGATCACTGGGATGCATCCCTTAGAGGTGGTGGGCCCTCCACAATCAAGGATTCTTCTGGATTGATGGCTTAACCAGCCCGCCCCGAGGCGTTCCTTACACAATCACTGTTTTATCTGCATCTCTTTGTTTCCTATTTATTATTTAACTGGTCATTCCACTTCCAGCCAGGCTGAGATTGATGTGAACTCTGCTCCTAGGAGAAATCTGGACTTACACGCACAGTTGCTTGTCCTTGAAACGAGTCTCACCAGCACACTCGCTGCAAGTCCTGTCTCGCTTTTGTACGCTCCTTTTTCTTTGTAATAAAATCCAACTGACCAAGTGACCAGGAGACGGGCCGGGGGCGAGGGCTCTGCACAGCTCCTGTATTTATTAAATATTGTTCCTCTCCGGCTCTGACCGTGTTGCTGTGTGATTCTCTCAATTGGTTTCAAATTGAGGCAAAACTGAAGCTCTACCAATGAATTGTTTAAAAGAACCAGACACATTTTTGTATTAAAATTGCTTGCGGTAATAAACAATCTTGCCTCCTGCTTTATTCCCCAGTGTTAGCTTTGTAAGGATGAGCTGGAGCTGGTTATCCCGCGTGGGAAGGCAGTGGCTGTGGAAGTCAGGGGGTGTTTGCACCCAGGTTTTTTTGTGGGATGGAGCAGGGCCCAAATTTACACTCAGCCCCAAAATTATGTGGTCCAGGGTGGGGCTGGTGAGGTGCTCAGTGGAGTGGGGAATTGGGTGCCTGTGAGGGGAAGGGATGCAAAGGGGTGTCCAAGAGTTTGGGTGGCCTTGGGAGTGGATGCCCAGGTGGGTCAGTGTCCCCACATGTGGAAGTTCATGGATTTGGGTGCCAGTGAGGGTGGGTGCCCCTGGATTTGGTTTCCCACAAGGGTCAGAGTCCCTAGGTGTGGATGTTCATGGATTTGGGTACCCCTGGGTTTGGTTTCCCACAAGGGTCAGAATCCCCAGGTGTGGATGTTCATGGATTTGGGTGCCTCTGGGTTTGGTTTCCCACAAGGGTCAGAGTCCCCACGTGTGGATGTTCGTGGATTTGGGTGCCTCTGGGTTTGGTTTCCCACAAGGGGGATCCTCTTTAGAAGTGAGTGCCCATGGAATGAGCATCCCTAGGAATGGATCTCCATGCATTTGTGCACCCACAGGAGCAGGAGCATCCCTAGGGATGGGTGCCACGGTTTTGGGTGTGGGTGAGGCTGGGAACCCACGGCTTTGGGTGCCCACGAGGACAACCATCCCCAGGGATGGATTCCCATGAATTTACATCTCCACAGCTTTGGGTGCCCACGAGGACAACCATCCCCAGGGATGGATTCCCATGAATTTACATCTCCACAGCTTTGACTTCCTACCCCTTCTCATGCCCAGCGATGCTCCCCGTACCCCGGAGCCACCGGGCGGGGAGGGCCGGGGCGGTGCCGCTGGAGGGACCGTCCCTTTCCCTCGCCCCGCCGGGGCGGTCCGGTGCCGGTGCCGGAGCCGGGGCCGTGCCGGTGCCCGGTGCCGCACCGGGCGGGCGGGCGGGGGGTCCCGGCGGTGCCATGGGGCCGGGCTGGGGGCGGCGTGGAGCCGTGGCGCTGCTTTGGGTGGCGGCCGTGCTGTGGCAGCTGGGCAGCGGCAGCGTCCTCCGCCGCCGGCTCCACGCCGCCGGGGTCCCGCAGCGGCGGCTGAGCGGCGGCGAGCGGCGGGACGTGCAGCGGGAGATCCTGGCCGTGCTGGGGCTGCCCGGCCGGCCCCGGCCCCGCGCCCCGACCCGCGCCCCCGCCGCCGCCGCGCCGCTCTTCATGCTCGATCTGTACCACGCCGTGGCCGGCGAGGAGGAGGAGGAGGAGGAGGGCGAGGAAGCGGCGGTGTCGCGGCCGGTGCTCACCGGGCTCAGCACGCAGAGCCCCCCGCCCGGCAGCGTCGTGAGCCGAGCGGACACCGTGGTCAGCCTCGTTAACATGGGTGAGAACGGCTGCGGGGCACCGGGAGGACCGGGGGGCACCGGGATGTGCGGGGCACTGGGAGCACCGGGAGAACCGGGAGGCACCGTGGGTCACCGGGATGTGCGGGGCACCGGGAGGACCGGAGCGCACCGGGGGGTACCGGGGGGTACCGGGATGTGCGGGGCACCGGGAGGACCGGAGCGCACCGGGAGGCACCGGGATGTGCGGGCAGGATCCCGGCTGCTTTGGCAGGATCGGGGCGATCGGAGCACACCGGGGCTCGCCGGGGGTACCGGGAGGGGATACCGGGATGTGCGGACGGCACCGGAGCGCACCGCGGGGGTCCCGGGAGGGGATACCGGGATGTGCGGGCAGGATCCCGGCGGCTTTGGCAGGACCGGGGGGGGACCGCGGCCCACGGAGGGACCGGGGGGACCAAAGCAAGGCACCGAGGGGACACCGGGGGGAATGGGCACGGGGCTGAGCCGACCGCAACCCCAGCTCCTGGTCCGTGACCGTGGTACCGACAGCTCCGAGCATCCCTCGGGGTGGTTTCTCAGTCCTTGCTCAGATAAGGAACTTTTTTGCCCAAAGCTGAGCTCAGTAACGGGGGGAGCGGCGGTGAGGGACACGGTGGCGGTGAGGGACACGGGGGTGCGGTGAAAGTGGCCGGGATGAATCCCAAATCCGTTTAAAAAGAGGAAATGGAGAAGGGGGAGCTGAGGGAGGCTCTCCCCGACTCAGCGGGCACAAGGCGGGCAGCGAACGGGGCTCGGGACAGGCGGGACAGCAGCTCTGGTGCCAGCAGCAGGGTGACCCTCGATGGGACACTGCATCACGGCTCCAAATAAAATCCTCGAGGCTGTTAATTATTGCTGGAATCCCGTCCAGCTGGTTACCAGGCTCCAGCATCCTTCGGATTTCCAGGCAGCCGCTGGAGCAGCAGCAGAGCTGATCCCAGCGCCAGCGGGGCCGCGAACACTCGGGATGGGATGAATCCTCTGCCGGGGCAGGCACTGGGGTGGCTGAACCCAGGGGGATTTGCACACCGGGAGCTCGGACATGGAGCTTTTCCCTGTCCCTGCTCGTTGCTTTTAGGGATGTTTGTTGCCCCAAGCAGAAAATCCCCCAAAACCTCTGAGGAAGGGGAGAATCCCTCCTTGGAGATTGGAGGTGGGAGGGGGATCTGCACCCTTGGGAGGAGGTTTAGGCGAGGCAGGGGCTGTAGAGGTGTCTCCCACTCATTCCTACTCCCCCTGTACCACGTGTGGCTGTGAGGAGTCTCCCTGGCACAGACCCAGGTGCTTGGGGTGCCCACAGGTGCAGGCACCCAGCTCCCCTCCAAAATCCTGAGAGAACTGGGGTGCAGTTCAGCATCCTGTGGTGGAGACAAAAGCTGAAGCACCAAATCCCCTCAGCGCTTGGGACAACACCCAAGCCCCAAAATGGGCTTTAAAGGAGTCAGGTGTGGTGGCAGCCACGGTGGGATGTTCAGGGAGCCTTTGGGAGGTGTCACTGCTGGCACAGGGGTGCAGGCACTGCTCCCCTTCCCAGTGCTCCCAGAGTAGCCAGGAGAGTTTGGGGAGCACAGCTCCAGCCTTCAATTTGAATGGCTTTGATTTCTGCGGCTTCGTCAGCCCCTTCATGTTAATTAAATAAGGAGGTTTGTTTTTTTTGGTTTTTTTTTTTTTTTTTGTTTTGTTTTTTTTTGTGGGAGAAGGCCAGCTCTCATTTGCATACATAATTAGCTGCACAATTATCCTGATGGGACATGCAAAGTTGGGCACTTGGACCTTTTTGGAGCCGTCCCTCTGCGAGCAGGGCTGGAGCAGGGCGCTCCTTGTTCCTGGGAATGGGGAGAGACAAACATCCCTGGAGCACCAACTCTGGGGGACAGGGACAGCCCCAGCTGCTTTTGGGGACCATGGATCTGCCCATCCCACCCCTCCTGCTCCTCCTGGAGGGGGTGAAGCCTTCCCTGGGCTGTTCCTGTGCCCTGGCTGCAGCAGCTGGGCGGGATGTTGGGTTTTTGAGCCCAGGGTGAGGATGTGAGGATGGGCTTTGGGATTTCTCCTCAGCTGTGAGTCATGGATACGGGCAGGGTGTGATTGTGGAGCAGGGAGATGTGGAAGGGGAAGGGGGTGAGGGCTCACAGCATTCCTGAGCCCCCCCAGCACTCACATCCCCCTTTCCCTGCTGGCATCCATCATTATTGGTAGGTGTCCCATGGCAAGGGGTGGGAATTAGATGATCTTTAAGTTCCTCCCAACCCAAAGCAGCCTGTGATTCCTTGGCTGGACTCCCCCGTGGCTGCTTGGGATGAGGCTGTGCCCAAACATCTTCCTGGAAAATCCAGGGATGAACAAAAACCCTGGAGAGGAACACAGGACACCTTGGCAAAACCAGCCACAGCACCCCGGGCACTTCAGGGAACCCTAAATGTGGGGTGGGAGCTCAGAGCAGCCTCTTTAATTGAATTTTAGGAGTTGGGAAGAGCTGCTCCACTCCACACTGTGGAAGTTCATCACCCACTGCCCTCATCCCACACAATTACCACTGAAATCCAGCTGCTGTCAGCAGCTGGCTCAGGATTTTCCCACCCCTGGCTCCGTTTCGCAGCCGTTTGAGCTGTGCCGAGGTGTCAGCGCTCTCCATGGACCCTCCGTGTGTGTTTTAATGGGGAAAGCTTCCCCAAAAAATCCTGGGATCCACCTGGGACACAGTGCTCCAGCTGGATGTGTGTAGGGCAGGGGCCAAGGCTGTGTCCCAGCTGGGCTGGGGGTGTCCAGAGCTCCTAGAGCTCATCCCAGGAGGATGGAGGAGGCAAACTGGGAGTCTGGATGTGCTGGGATAACTCCTAAATCCCTCCCCACTTCAGAAACCTTCCAGAGCTTATTTTTTCCTGCTTGAAGGACAACATCTTCCCTGCATCTCCTTTAAACCTATTTTAGGATCCAGAGCACTTGATGTGGTCGAATATCCTGGCATTTCCTTTTAATTTGGTGTCTGAAATGATCATGGGGACCCACTGGGAGCAGCCAGGCCCGGTAATTACGACTGATGCACAGTTTTATAGAAGCCCAGAAAGTGCACAAGGAAAAACGTGCAGCTAAGAATAACCTGGGGAGCAGGAGGAAGGGTGGGATCTGGGAAGAGGTCTGGGAATGCTCAGGGAATGGGAGACACCAGGAGGCTCAGCTGAGATGGAGCTGGGCATCCCCTGCCAGGGGAACGGCCCCCAAGGCTGTTTATATTGGTTTATAATAATTTTAATGTTATTTTTGGGGGTGATGGAGCACACTCAGCTTTGGGGGAAGGTGCAGCAGCTGCCAAAGGAGGGGGGAAAGGAGAGCAAAGCGCTTGGGTTGGGCTTTTTTCCTGCCTCTCCTCTGCAATCCGGAGAATCCACCCACATTTAATTGAGGGTTGGTGGTGTGGCTGAGTCAACCCCAAGCAGGGGCAGGTTCCCAGGCACCCTGGGCTCCCCAAAGCCCCCCGGGGGGGCACCCCCAGCACACCCCCAGCAGCATCTGAGCACCCACAGCTCTGCTGGCTGCTCAGGGGCCACTGCAGGGCTCTCATTTTACAAACATTTTGATTTTAGCAGCAAACAGGGGAGTGTTGAGCCCTCTCCAAGCTGCTCTTTGTGCAGCAGTTGTGACACAGAAGGGGAAGCTTCTCCCTCAGTCCTCCCCCTCCAAAGGGGTTCACTTTTTTCCTCCCTGAAGAAGCAGAGAATTCAGGGATTCCTCCCAGAATTTCATCCCAAACACAGATAAATCCAGCTTAGGTTCATCAAGGAGCTCAGCTAATTGCAGCTCAGCTAATTTTTGCATTTCTACTGCTGCCAAGGTGTCCCTGGGCTCCCCTCCCACCAAATCCCCTCCTCTGCCTTCACCCCCAGACCCCTCCATCACCTCCACAGCAACAGGAAATTTTCATTAAAAATTTTTAGCAGAGGCTTTCACTCTTCTCTAGGGATAAAAATCACCTTTTTGGCTTTTTTTTTATCAGGTGTGGGGTCTCTGTGGCTTCCTTGGCTCTGACCAAAAAAATCCTTCTGCCCATCCCTGGGTGAGGATCCAGCTGCAGGCAAAAATTTTGGAGCAAAGGGGTCACCCAAGTGACCAAAAACACCCAAGGGGACCGACCAGGGGACACCCACTGGGGGCTTATCAGTGCTAAAACCCCGAGGTGACTCCTCTGCTCATATTTTGGGGGGAATTTAAGGATTTTTTTGCCAGCGCCACGAGGCCTCGGCAGCTTTGGCAGCGCCAACAACCCACGAGAACAAAACCACCCCACGATGGGATGGTGGAAGGAATGGCAAAGAGGGAAGAGGCTGAGGGACTGCGGAGGGTTTGGGGGGCTCTGTGTCCCCCCCTGAGGGGTTGGGTCAGGTCCCCAGAGCATCCTCCTGCCCAGCTGGCAGCCACCCTGGCAGGGCAGGAAGCGCTCTCCGCATCCGCCCCGGGCTCTTTTTAGAACACAGCTTGTGGTCAGGCCAGGAGCTGGAGGGAATGTGGGATTTGAAAAAAAAAAAAAAAAAAAAAAAAAAAAGGGGGAAAAAAAAGAGGAAAAAATAAGAAGGAAAAGAATTTGTGGGTAAGTAAAATCTCCGTGTTGGGTTTGGAGGGATGTGCTGCTCCCTCCGTGTAAATGGGAATGGCAAGCTTATGGTGGGTTAAATTTGGAATATTTCCCCCCTGGAATCGGTTTTAAAATGCATTTAAGCTGTTTATTTTTTTTGTTTAGTTAATGATTTGGTTTAGTTTTAAAAGTAAGCGCCAGGTTACGTTGCTTTTGCGCCTGAAGCAGGAGAAGCTTTAGTCACATTGAATCATATTTAATCATAAACTTTAATTATGCTCAGATCAGGAAGATTGGGGTGTTTTTAAAGAACAATTTGAAGCAAATGATTGCACATTAGCAGAACTGTGGGGGCTGCATTACCATAGAGAAAGGGAGGTTTATTCTTTATGGACGAACAAAATAAAATCAGATTTTTCCTGTCCCAGTGTGGTGGAGAAATAAGGTGTTTTCAGGAAAAAGGGAGGGGATTTTTTACAGAGCAGTGACCTGATAATCCCCCCCAGCTCCCCAGAAACACACAGGATAAAAATTTTTATTTGTGGCTAAATTTTTGCTTGTGGACAAATCTTTACTTGTGGAGCTGTGATATCCAGTGATGAGCCCTGGGCTTGTCTGCTGCAAGAAAAGTTTGGAAAACCCCAATTCCTGCTCCAGATGGTCCTGCTGAGCCCCAAAATCTCAAAATTTTGAACGTGTTTTTCCCCTTTTGATGAAGCAGCCCCTAAAGCCTGTCACATTCTCTGTGCTCCTCCCACAGCCAGCGCTTGTGCTTTTCATTTTAATTGATTTTAATTTTAATTTATTTTAATTTTAATTAATAATGAAGAAGGCTGGGAGGGGAAGCTGGTGGGTCTACAGCAAAATAAACTGCAAAAACAGGGGAGGATGATCTGAATCCAAACCCTCAGGAGACGGGAACATCCAACCAAGGGCTAGCAGCCCAGAACAGCGAGTTTATCCCCAAAATCCACTTGGTGGGGCTCAGCGGGGAGGTTCCAGGCTTGGCTCAGCCATCCCTGAGTGCTTTTTTTCCCTCCTCAGTGGAGCAGGACCGGGATCTGTTGTCACCCAAGCCCTACTGGAAGGAGTTCAGGTTCGACCTGACCCAGGTGCCGGCGGGAGAGGCCGTGACGGCCGCCGAGTTCCGCATCTACAAATCCCGGGGTGTCGCCAGGCACGCCAACAGCAGCCTCCACGTCAGCATCTACGAGGTGGCTGGGCAGCATCCCAACAGGTCAGGGGCTGGGAATGAGGATGAGGAGGGTGGGAGCAGGGGTGGCGTGGAGAAAACGGTGTGGGGTGATGGGGATGGGGTGATGGGGATGGGGATGGGGGTGAGGATGAAGGTAATGGGGTGGGAAAGGGTGTGGGGATGAAGGAGAAGGGAAGGGAATGAAGAGTGGTGGGGATGGGAATGAAGAAGATGGGAAGGGAATGGGGATAGGAATGAAGATGGTGGGAATGGGGGTGAGGATGAAGGTGGTGGGGGTGAGGATGAAGGTAATGGGTAAGGGAAAGGGTGTGGGGATGAAGGAGAGGGGAAGGGAATGGGGATAAGAATGAAGATGATGGGAATGGGGCTGAGGATGAAGGTGATTGGGGTGAGGATGAAGGTGAAGGGATGGGAAAGGGTGTGGGGATGAAGGAGAGGGGAAGGGAATGAAGAGGATGGGGATGGGGGTGAGGATGAAGGTGGTGGGGATGAGGATGAAGGTGAAGGGATGGGAAAGGGTGTGGGGATGAAGGAGAGGGGAAGGGAATGGGGGTGAGGATGAAGGTGATGGTGGTGGGGAAGAAGGAGATGGGAAGGGAATGAAGAGGATGGGAGTAGGAGTGAGGATGAAGGTGATGGACATGGGAAAGGGTGTGAGGATGAAGGAGAGGGGAAGGAAATGGGGATAGGAATGAAGATGATGGCAATGGGGGTGAGGATGAAGGTGGTGAGGGTGGGAGTGAAGGAGATGGGAAGGGAATGGGGATAGGAATGAAGATGATGGCAATGGGGATGAGGATGAAGGTGATGGGAAGGGAAAGGGTGTGGGGGTGAATGAGAGGGGAAGGGAATGGGGATAGGAATGGGGATGAGGATGAAGGTGATGGGTGTGGGGATGAAGGACATGGGAAGGGAATGTGCATAGAAGTGAAAATGATGGGAATGAAGGTGAGGATGGAGGGGATGGGGATGATGGGAGTGGGAATGAAAATGTGAATGGGTAAGGGAATGAAGAAGATGGGAATGGGGATGGAAACAAGGTCAATGGGGACAGGGATTGAAAATCCCCAAAAATGGTCCTGTCCCTGCAGGGCACAGCGTGGATCCAGGCTCAGCTGGGCTCCTGGGGCGCCGGGGACCCCGCTCCAAGCAGCCCTTCATGGTGACATTTTTCCGGGCCAGCCCCAGCCCCTCCCGTGTCACACGAGCAGCCAAAGCCCCGAGGAGGCGACAGCCCAAAAAATCCAACGACCTCCCCCACCCGAACAAGCTCCCAGGAATTTTTGGTAAGGTGTTTTCTGCGGGAGGAGGGATCTCCCTGCGGAAAACACGAGGCTCTCTGCTCGTCAGCACCTTGAAATCTCAAATTTTTTTTTGGGCCCAAGGGAAATGGAGCACTTGAAATCCCAATTTTTTTTTTTTTTGGGCCCAAGGGAAACGGAGCAAAAAGTTCTGAGGTTTTAGGATTGGAGGTTTCTGCAGTTTGGGAGGTGCAGAGAGGGTTTGGGTTGGATGCCCTCAAGGAAATGGTGTTTTGTGAGCGTGTCAGGATTACTGAATATTGGAATTTTTGCCTCATTGCCCTTGGCTTTGGAGCCCTGGGAAGGTGTCACAGCTCCAGAAAGTTCAGGCAGGAGGGGAACAGGAAGGCCTGAGTTTGGGAAACCCTCAAAGCGAGCACAGCTGGGGTTTAGCTCTTCCAAGGCTGAATTCCTTCATCCCAATATTGGAATATCAATTCCAATTCCAATTCCAGGCCAGTCTGGAGCTGCTTTTCCCTTAATGCAGCAACAAAGGCTCCTCTCCTTTGGTTCTCCTGGGTCAATCCCAACCCCAGGGGCTGTATCCCACCTCTGAGGGGGAATTCCAGGGCTGAATTCCCTGTCCCCTTTTCCCACAGATGATGTCCATGCCACGGATGGGCGGCAGGTCTGCCGGCGCCACGAGCTCTACGTCAGCTTCCAGGACCTTGGCTGGCTGGTACTTGTCTGCTGGGAGAAGTAAATGACAAAAAACACCCCCCTATCATTCCATTCCCCCGCCCTGGGCTCCCTCCCAGGCTGGATTCTCCTGCCCATGGAACCATCCCAGGAGCTGGGAAGGCAAACACGAACTGCCACAACCCCAAACCTCACCAGCGACCCTGAACAACTCCTGGCTGATCCAAAAAAACCAAAATAAACCCTTGCTGAGCTGTTTATGCAGGTGGGGAATGGATGAGGGGGCACAGAAGGGTGAAGCCCTCGATGTAATCCCTTTTTTTCTTTTTTTTCCAGGACTGGGTGATTGCTCCACAGGGATACTCAGCCTACTACTGCGAGGGGGAGTGTGCATTCCCACTGGACTCCTGCATGAACGCCACCAACCACGCCATCCTGCAGTCCCTGGTCAGTGCAGCCCAGCAGGGCAGCCCTGGGGGGACATCCAGGCTCCTGGGGAGCACCCAGAGCCCGGCAGGTGCTGAGGAACAGCTGGGATTTTGGGATGAGCCTGGCTGGGCTTGAGGGTGCTCAGCTGGGAGGGTGCAGTTGGGCTCCTGGTTGAAATAAAGAATGAGTGGGTGAGTGCACATCTGGGTGGGTGAGTGCACATCTGGGTGGGTGCTTGCACATCTGGATGGGTGCATGCACATCTGGATAGGTGAATGCACATCTGGGTGAGTGCTTGCATGTCTGCGTGGGTGAATGCACATCTGGGTGGGTGAATGCACATCTGGATAGGTGAATGCACATCTGGGGGGTCTCATGCTCATCTGGGTGGGTGAATGCACATCTGGGTGAGTGCTTGCTTGTCTGGGTGGGTGCTTGCACATCTGGGTGGGTGCTTGCACATCTGGATGGATGCTCACAGGCTGGCCCCCACCACAGGCTCAATTCCAATATGGAATTTCAAGGCATTCATGGAGAGACCCAGGGTGAGGGCACGAAGCTCTGCCCCTCATCCTCAACCAGAAGGCTGCATCAGCGGGATTTTGTCACCCCAGAGCTCCCTCACCTCTTGGTTTTCTGACTGACACCATCCTGCTCCAGTTCCACAGCAGCTGGGGCAAAACTGATGATTTCTGGCAGATTGATGATCCCTCTCCCCTGGCAGCGAGCCGGGCAGCAGGGACAAGCCCAGGGCACACCAGAGCCCCCCAAAAAAGGCTCTGTGCCATCCCTGCATCCTCCTCTCCAGCTGCTTCCCAGGGTTTTATCCACAGCCCCGGCACCCAAACCTTGGGCTCAGCATATTCCGAGCAAGAAAGCTTTAATGCCTTGGGTTTGTTTTTTTTCCCAAACCCACCCCACATCCCAGGCAGCGCTTTAATTTCTGGAATTTCCTGCCCTGTGAGTGTTTGGTTTCCCAATGGCAGAGCCACCCCGGCTCCGGTGCTCGCGGTTAATTACAGGGAGCGCCGAGCCCTCGGCCCAGCCTTTGAAGGTGTCGCCTGGCTGGGTTTAATTTTGACATTAAAACTTCCAGGGCCCATCCAGGGGCTGGGAACCATCCTGGCAGTGGCAGCGAGGGGCTCTTTTTTCCCCCCTCTACACCCACCCATCACCCCCAAACCCAGCTCTGTTCCCAAAACGGAGCCGTTGGGGCAGGATGTGAATCACCTGGATCCGGCCCTTCTGGGAAGAGCCAGGGCAAAGGCGGCTGTGGAGCCATGCCAGCCCCAGCCTGAGCTGCAAATAGCAGGGTTGGACAGCAAAAACACCGGACTTCCGAGCTGGGAGAGCTCGGCTGCCCCTGCTGTAAATGAATCGCACATGTCGGGGCAGCCAGCAGGGCTCCTGTGTCCTGCCAGCCTCCTCCGGCTCCTGCCCTGCAGGAAAACACCGGGATAACGCCTGTCCCCAGCAGGGAAAAGCCATCCAAGAGTGGGGTCCTGGTCACAGAGGTGTTGTGGACTTTAGGATGGAAGTTTGGGGTGGAGAATCTCTGTTGGAACAACGCCCAGCGCCCCCCGCCCACACCGGAGCCTGACCCGTGCTGTGCTGATTTATGTTTTTTTTTTTTTTAGTCATTTGTCTGTTTTTGTGAGAAAAAGGGCCCTGAAATCCCAAATTAATGAAGGGTCTGCCTGGCCCATGCAGTGCCATGAGCCCTGATCCAATATAAACCACAGCAGGGACTGCCTGGAGTTTAGAATAAATATTTTTGCAAAAAGATGGAAATAATCCCCCCATTCACCCAGGGTTTTTTTGGTTGGTTTGTTGCTTGGAGCCACGTTTGCTGGCACTGACGGGCTCCATCCATCCCCCAGGTCCACCTGATGAAGCCTGAGGCCGTGCCCAAGGCGTGCTGTGCCCCCACCAAGCTCAGTGCCACCTCTGTCCTCTACTACGACAGCAACAACAACGTCATCCTCAAAAAGCATCGGAACATGGTGGTGAAATCCTGCGGCTGCCACTGATGGACAGGTCCCATCCCACCCCCGAGTGTCCAAATCCTCCAAATCCCATCCCTGCGTGTCCCATTCCCAGCCCTTGATGTCCCATTCCCACTCTTGAGTGTCTCATTCCTGTCAGCATCGGAACATGGTGGTGAAATCCTGCGGCTGCCACTGATGGACAGGTCCCATCCCACCCCTGAGTGTCCAAATCCTCCAAATCCTGTCCCTGAGTGTCCCATTCCCCACTCCTGAGTGTCCCATTCCACCCCTGGATGTCCCATCCCCACCCCTGGATGTCCCATTACTGTCCCTGGATATTCCATTCCTGTCCCTGGATGTCCCATTCCCACTCCTGAGTGTCCCATTCCTGTCCCTGAGTGTCCCTTTCCCACCCCTGGACACCCCATTCCCATCCCTGAGTGTCCCTTTCCCACCCCTGAGTGTCCCATCCCATCCCTGATGTCCCATTCCCAACCCTGGATGTCCCATCCCCACCTCTGAGCATCCCATTCCTGTCCCTGAGTGTCCCATTCCTGTCCCTTGATGTTCCACTCCTGTCCCTGGATGTCCCATCCCCACCCCTGGACACCCCATTCCCATCCCTGGATGTCCCCTTCCCACTCCTGGATGTCCCATTCCTGTCCCTGGATGTCCCATTCCCACCTCTGAGCATCCCATTCCTGTCCCTAGATGTTCCATTCCTGTCCCTGAGTGTCCCATCCCCACCCTGAGTGTCCCTTTCCCACCCCCGGACACCCCATTCTGTGGGCTGCATCAGAGCAAAATCCATTAATAATAATAATAATCAAAAAAGCAAAAAATAAACCCTTCCCACCCCTTTCTAGAAGTGGATGTAAATAATATAAAACTTCCTTTTTCTTATCCTGCTTGATGAGACACAGAAATATACAAACACATATATATATATATACAGGAAAGAGAGGATTTTTGGCTGATTCTGTTTTGTCTGTGACTGATGTGTTTTCCCTGTGCTGGAGGCAGTTTTGGGGGCAGGCAGCATCCAGGTTGCTCTGGGACTGAGCTGTTTCTAGCTGTGTATTTCTCCACTAACCCACCTCTACCCAAGTGCTTTTAATTCCCTTAATGAAAATATCATCAGCCAATTAAGTAGCTGGCTGGCTAACCCCCCTCCTGTTTACCCAAAGTTCACCAAACTCAGCCAGTTGGAAAAAAAATAAAATATCCATATTGAGCTACAGCACTGTTATAAAATAAACGCAAAGTTTGGAAAGTAAACACGGAGTTTCTCTTGCTCTTTGTTTTTTAATGTCACAGCACAACAGGGCTCTGTTCACAGGGCCTTTTGCAATGAAAAAAAAAGACTCAGAATTGGCTAAAATTGTACCTATTTGCTTGAAAATGAGCCCTGATGTGAGTTTTAGGTCAGGCTGTGCCCATCCCGTGGGCTCCCAGCGGGGCTGTGAGCAGTCCCAGGCAGCTTCCCCAGGTTATTTGCACAATTAAATTATTTATTTGCTCTGATTTGAAAAGGAAAAGGCCTGTCCTGGTTCTCAGCTCGGATACTAACCTTACATCAATAAATAAGGAAAGAACCTGGAACAGTCAGGGAAAAATCCCAATAAAACCCCACCAAAATAAGGGAGATTTGCTCCCTGTCAGTGCCCAGCTTCCCACGGAAAGGTTTTGCTTGTCTGGGTGTTTAATTCCACACGAAATCCAGCTCAGGGTGCAATCCTGGCTCCGTGGGATTTGGTGCCTCCTGCAGAGAGAAGAGCCAAGCCTTGCACTGACTCTGGACTCTTGGCTGCAGGTGCCTGACTTTAAAATGTGGGATTTAAACAAAAAGAAGGGAGCAAAGGAGGGGAAAGCTGGGCTGGTTTGTCTGTCAGGAATCATCCTTGCATCTCAACTTGTCTCAGTTTTAAGAAAATGCAAACTCCCAACCACCCTAGGAGACCAGGCAGTGAAAAAAAGCAATCCTTATGGAAAAACAACACCACGACTTGTGAGGGGCTGGGCTGGGCAAACCCAAAATCCCCAATGGCACAAGCACTTCCAAACATCCCCAAAATCCCAACATCAGCCCTTCCTCTCCACCTCAGCAGCCTCATCCCTCCTGCCAATACCTGCACAAGCTCAGAACCAAACATCCCTTCCATAATTTCACTGGAAACCCAAAATCCATCACTTCCCGGTCACCTCTAAGTGCAAAGCCAGGGCTGCCCACCACAGGAACTCTAAATCCACGTGGTTTATCCCACTCTGCAACCTGGAGGCTGGGAATCCCTTCCTACAGCCTCACACTCTGGGTTTTTTTCTTTTTCATCAGCCAAAGGGCTCCTTCATTTCCAGGTGTTCCCTGTCCTGTGTTTTCCAGCTCACACATCCCAGTGAATGCCCTTCCTCTGGGATGGGGATGAAGCTGGGACAGGAGAGACACCAGCCAGGGACCTGCCTCCCTCTGCTGCTGGAAAAGGACACTACAAAGCCAAAAGCACCTCCAGGAGATGCTGCTGTGCAACAAACACGAGTGGTTCAGATCTGCTCTTCTCTCCTTGGCACAGCTACCCTCCCCTGGAGTCAGGATTTAGGCACAGGATTAATGAAGAGGAGAGCAAATACAACAAAAAAAAAAAACCATCTTTGCTCAAAGACCAGCCTCCCACAGAGGGAATTCAGCAGCCAGGCCCTCAGTATTTTCAAAACTAGGCTTTATTTTTACCAAACATAAATTTTTTTTCCAGAACACAGCAGCAGGACCAGCTCGGGCAGCGCAGGCTGGGAAGCGATTTACCCCAGGAAGGATAAATCCTGCTCACAGGAACCTTGGTGGGGGAATTCCTCTGGAAGCTGCAGGAGGGGCAGTGCTGGGGAGTCCCTGGGGTGTCCCATCCCTGCTGGTTCCTGTCCCTCCAGGCCAGGCTCCCCCATCCAGCCCCTCCAAGCACCGAGCTCACGCGCACTCCCCGCAGTCCGAGATGATCACCTTCTGCTTTGGCTTCCCATCTTTGGTGCCCTGAGCCTTGGAGAGAAGAGCAGCAGGAATTCCAGGGGTGACTCCTCAGGGCAGGAAGGAAGCGGGCTCTGCCCCCAGCTCCCCCCTGCCCTCACCTACCTCGATCTCCCTCACCACGTCCATGCCCTCCGTCACCTCGCCGAACACCACGTGCTTCCCGTCCAGCCAGTCTGTTTTGTCACAGGTGATGAAGAACTGGGAGCCGTTGGTGTTTGGGCCCGAGTTTGCCATGGACACCATCCCTGGGGTCAGAGAGGGTAGAGTGATGGCTGCTCCTTCAGCCCAGCCCCGCTCCCATGCCCCACAGAACGCTGCTGGATATCAAAATCCACAGAAACCACTGGAAATCAATTACGCCGAGAAACACTTGGGAGTGTGAAAGATGCTCAGCTATTTTTAGCTGCAGCATCAGCAAAGCTGTCTGTATGGAGATAAACCTGCTTGCTTGCTCCTGCCTTTCACAGTCACGCTCTGACATTCCTCTTTTAAAATCAAGCAGGAAAAGCAGCTTTGAAATTGTTTTTCCTTCATGTAATACTGCAAATGAAGTGGATGGAGAGGGAACGATGCATTTGGTGAGACACAAGGGTCTGAATGTAGCAGAAAAATCTGGCCAATGTAGATGATAATAATTAGAATTAGAATTAGAATTGGAATTCAGGGCTGCTGCTATCAACATGGCTAAAACAGCCCTAGATGACGCTGAGCCATTTTCTCTCCATCCATCTCTAAAGGAGATGGCTTTACCTGGCCCTGTGTGCTTGAGGATGAAGTTTTCATCATCAAACTTCTTCCCGTAGATGGATTTGCCGCCGGTGCCGTTGTGGTTGGTGAAGTCCCCGGCCTGGCACATGAACTGGGGGATGACGCGGTGGAAGCTGCTGCCTTTGAAGCCAAACCCTTTCTCGTGGGTGCAGAGGCAGCGGAAATTCTCTGCGTGGTGGGGGCACAAAGGGGGGCGAGGTGAGGGCTGTGCCCCCCCGGGGGTGCCCAGGAGGGGAGGCTGAGCCCTGTCCCCACCTGCAGTCATGGGCACCACGTCGGAGCGCAGCAGGATCCGCAGCCGCCCCGCGGGCTTGTTCCCGATCTTGATGTCCATGTAAACCTGGGGGTTGACCCGGGATTTCTTGGCAGGAGGCTCGTCCTGGGCAGGAAAAGAAAGAAAAAAAAAAAAAAAAGCAAGTTGAGGTGATATTTCTCTGCTTTGCATCCTCATCCTGTGGGATAACGGGGATGCAGATGGCTCTGGTTGTTTTTCCCACCTCCTGTGCCTCTGCTTTGGGGGCCTCTGCTCCTCCCTCCTCCTTGTTCTCCTCCAAAGTCTTCCCTGAAAACTTCTTCAGCCACTCATCATCTGACCAGACTGTGGCCACAAAAGGAAAGGTCAGAGCACAGGAATTGACCCAAAGGGCCACGGAGCTCCGAGCATGGCCAGGGATGTTCTGCTCCCCAGCTCACCAGGCCTGGATGATCCTTCTTTAATCCTCATGGGTTTGGCCAGGTTCACTCGGATTGTCCTGCCAAAGAGCTCAGACTCGTTCTGCAGAGGGGAAAAAAGCACAGCAAAGCCCACCAAAAGGTATAAAACCACCGTGCCCCCCAAAGCCCTGCAGAGCTCAGAGGACAGAGCTTCTGCTCTCTCTGTAGCCCACAGCACCCAGGGCAGCAAAGCCACACATCCCCAGGGAACAGGGAGCAGGAGTGGGAGCAGGGTCCATACCATGTTGTCAATAGCTGCTGCTGCATCCTGCCAGAAAAAATCAAAATAAAATCATTATTAACATTTATTCTCAAGGTCCAGCATAGCCATGCTCCAGCATCTCATTATAAAGACAACTGCCAGGTTTTCCTAAACCCCATTTATCCCAGGGATGTATGAACTGATGGGTTTTGTAAAAGCCATATCCCAGCCCCATCCATGTGGGGTTTCCAAACCCCATGTGGGTGTCATCTTCCAAAAACTCACTAACCCCTTGTATTTAAGATGTTTTATTGCTGCCATGGGCTTTTGGGAGAGGGGAGA